CGACGACAACGGCGACGACAACAACAGCAGCAACAGCAACAGTGTGGGTGAGTCTGCTGACACTCCTTGGAGCCAAAAGAAGCCCACGAGAGTCCCTTTTAAAGGCGACACACCTACAGGACCCGCCAAAGGTAAACCCTAGACCCTAAAGCCCGAAGCCTAATGTGTCTCAAAACGGCTTCCTATAGTACCCATATAGATCCCTTTCAGGAACCCTAAAAAGGTACCATAATATAGATAACTATTAAAGGTTACTATCGTCTCAACAGCGGCTTTCCTCCTCAATGAACCCGGCCTGGCTCTTCGCAATGCGGCCGGATCGTCCTGACCCAGAGACGGGTTGGGGTTCAGGGTTTAGGGGTTTTTAGGGGTTTAGGGGTTTTTAGGGTTTAGAGGTTTGTAGGGGTTTAGGGTTTGGAGGTTTAGGGGTTTAGGGGTTTAGGGGTTTAGGGTTTAGGGGTTTAGGGGTTTGGGGCTTAGGGTGTCCTGACCAAGAAGCTCAGGGCAACGATGGGATCAGAGGGGGCGACAACCGACTCTTTCGCCTCTTAGTCCACTCTGGCAACATCAATATCTATCTATCTATATATATATATGTGATATGGTAGAGTATAATATACTATACATCTTACAATATAGCACAATATAATATCATAGAATATAGTAATATAATTCTGCACACTACAGTTCTGAAACTTGTGGCTCAAAAGAGAGTATGATGCAAAGTAGCGTCATAATGCTACATCACAAAATAATCCACAACAGCACATACTATGATGCCAAAGTCATAAAGTCATAAAACATATTTATACAAGCTTAGGTATCTTCAACGGAACTTCCGGCCAACTGCCAAACTACACAAGTTGAAGCTCCCTCCAGGACCGGTGCCGTCTGGCTCCACGTTCTGCAAAAGGTCGTGCCATCGATCCTATCGCCGCTCAGGGTTCATTAGGGTTTAGGTTTGGAGGCCGCAAACGCACGAGATCTCGCGATAGGAACTAGCAGTGTCGGTTTACTGCACCCTACACCCTAAACCGTGGGAGCTATTTACCGCTGCACCGACGAATCCGCTGGAGAAGCTTCCCCCTTCCGACGACCTTCAAGCCTTACAGACCCCGTAGCGCTTAAACATCTGATGAATCTGATGTCCTGAAGGCCTCAGCCCCTGAACCCCAAACACTGCGCAGTTTGCATCTGTTCGCGGCTTCCACTGGGCAGCGCACCCCGCAGGAGCCCTCGCCCAGAACTGCGTGACAAAGCCCTGCGGCGTGGCTCTTGACTGGTTCCGATAAGGGTGACGGGGGTTCAGGGTTTGGGGTTTAGGGTTCCGATAAGGGTAACGGACAGTGTAAGTGCTAAATACACGACGGTTATTACAAGGGGTACCGCAATTTTTGTTCGGCTACGGGTAGCAACGCGGTTCCAGAAAGGTTTCTGTAAAGGGTCACTATATATACCCTAAACCCAATACCGTGAGAGTTCAGGTGTGGGTTTTTGTTGGGGTCTTGGGGTCTAGGGTGTAGGGATTTAAGGTTTAAAGGGTTTCGGGGTTGGGAGTTTAGGGGTCTAGGATGATAGGCTTTCCGGGTTTAGGCCTCAGGGTGTACGGGTTTAGGGTTCCCGAAACCCTCTAAAACCCAAGGCTTAACGGCTTTATGGCTCTACCTACAGGGTCATACCCTACCACTTCTTCAGGGGACCTAGCTTTATGGTTAGGGTCTGCGACATATGGAAAAGTAGATGTCCTGAGAATGCGATAGGCATGACCGAGGGTTTTAGGGCTTTATGTTTTAGGATGGTTTAAAGCTTTTCGGGTTTCAGTGCTGTAAGGCTTTAGGGTTTTAGTTCTTTAGGGCTTTTAGGGTTTTAGTGCTTTAGGGTTTAGGATGGTTTAGGGCTTTTTGAATATTTTAGGGTTTCGGGTTCAGGGTCATGGATTTATTGACCACCAATATCGGCCGAGGCGAGGGAACAACTACAGTTTTGATCTTCGCTTCCCCGGCTCCATCTAATAATTAGGGGCCTTAATAATTAGAATCGGGTTTCGGGGCCCATTATACTATAAATATAATAAGGAACCCCCAAAATAGTATTGGCAATTATATAGGCCCCTACATTAAGAGAGGCAGTCGAAACAGGAATGCAGGTAGGGTGTGCGGAAATGCGCGTTGCGGTCAGCAAGCCTCTCAGCGGGGTCTAGACGCTAGACATATCTTCAAGCGAAAACCTCAAGCCTCAAGCCCCAATCTATCCTCCAGTTACTCCTCCACAAGCCCTCAACCTTGCACCCTAAACCCAAAACCCCAAACCTTACACCCTAAACCCTAAACACCAAACCTTACACCCTAAACCGCTTTAACCCTAAACCCAAGACTCCCATGAGAAGAAGCTGAGTCCCAACATTGACTCAGTCAAGGCCTCGCAGCAAGTGGCCCTTCACGAAGATGAGGTGCTGCAGTTCCGGGCCTCGTGACTTTCGCGTTTCGGGTTTGGGGCTACATCCTACGGGTGTTTACTTATCAGAAAAGCCGCTCCGAACATCCGGGAAAGACATGGCTGTCGGGACTTACCGCAATCACTCCGCAAGATGTGCAGAGATCCAGCTGCAAACCCGCAATCCTTGTGTACAGCGGCCCAGAATAATCTCTGTTCTGCACCGCGCTGCTTCACAAGAAGTGACAATGATTGTGCTTAATACCAGCAGCAATAAACAATCAAAACAACAAGAAACAACCAGTCAGAACATAATTCCTTCTATTCTTACACATGGAAAATATAGTTACAACAACAATAACACTGATAAGAACTGAATCAACCATAAAGTAATCATAACAGGGGGTCCCGAGCAGATTCCGTGGCATTCTCATCCTTCCTTCGCTGTGCCATCACACTTTCCCAGGGCACCCCGGCTTCCGAAGCGAATGATCTGCACCCACAGCTTGCTACACGCCGCCTCGCAGGCACGGATGGGACTTGTTGAGGGTGTCAGGTTTAGGGGGGGGCTAATGTGGGGACCTTAATCATTAGAATAGGGTTTTGGGGGTATGTTATGCTATAAATTAAAGTAAGGACCCTCCCCCAACAATAGTATAGGTAATTCTTTAGGCCCCTATATGAGACACCGGGACCTTTCAGCCTCTGAGTCTCTCTTCAAGCGCTTTTGGGGTGGCAAATCGAGGCATGATGTAGGGGCCTTCATAATTCGAAAAAGCTTCTGGGGGTTTCTTTTTATATCGATAGTCAAATATACCCCCAAAGCCTCTAATTCTAGTACAATATACCCCCAAACCCTCTAACTCTAGTATAATATACCCCCAAACCCTCTAACTCTAGTATAATATAACCCCAAACCCTCTAACTCTAGTATAATACAACCCCAAACCCTCTTCCAATTATGTAAGGCCCCAACATTTTATGCCCAGCCCGGAAACCGAAAGCCTCCCAGAGCCTCGACTCGGCCTCCCCCCCTGAAGCCCCGGAAGGACCCAAGAAAAGGGGCCTTAACAAAACAGAATAGGGTGTTGGGGCCTTTTCAGCTGTACTTATGACCTAAGAAATTTGGGGCCTTAAGAATTAGAATCGGGCCTGAATCGGGTTTGGGGGCCCTTGATACTATACTTATAGTAAGAAACCACCAAAATAGTATAGGTAATTCTTTAGGCTTCTAGAATAAAGAAGCTGAAGTTCAACCCCCAAAACTTCGAACACCCGGACATCTGCAGCCAGCCCGAAAAGTCCCCCACCCAAACCGATCCGAAGAGGTGCCGGCCTGAAAAATGTGGTTGCATCTGTACAGGAAGAACCACTCTGATAATGCCTTCCACACCTGATGGCTCGCTTCGACTATCTGGGAGGAAAACATGCTAGGGCACTTCTCGAACACCTCCCTTTCGGGTTTAGGGTTCATGCCCTTTTTGCGACTCGAAGTTACCTTCGCACTGGCAGTGGGGATCCGGGATCGCTGTGATACGGCACTTCGCTTGGATTGGAGCAAGGTTAGGACCTGTTGCAGGTGTCAGCAGCAGCCCTGCGCCCACATCCTCAACCCTACTTTCCCCTCTCGCGAAAGGCCGACCTTTCAGGACTTCGGGAACGAACTGTTTTGCCGTCCCTAGGAATGGCGCCAGCCTCTCACAGAAAACCCACCCTAAACCCTATAAACACCCACTCAAGAACCCCCAGAGCTCGACCCTCAACCGTCAACCCCCAAACCCTGAACCCCCAACCCTAAACCCTAAGCTTAGAACCCCCAACCCTAAACCCCAAACCCTAAACTTTCAACCCTAAACTCTAAACCCCCCAACCCTAAACTTTGCACCCCCAACCCTAAACCCCAAACCCTAAACTTTGAACCCTAAACTCTAAACCCCCCCACACCCTCAACTTTGAACCCTATACTCTAAACCCTAAAGCCTAAACCGTGGATCCGAGAGCAGCACCGCTGGTTTAACCAGGGGCAGAAGCCGATCCGGTGCCAGAACGGCCAGAGCCTGGGAGGCCAGGCCAGGGGCTTCCAGGTCCTCTTCGTTTGGGGGGCCTCCGGGGTTTTTGGTGGTCTAGGGTTTTGGGGTCTTTCGGGTTTTCGGGGTTTAGGGGATAGGGTTTTGGGGTTTCTGAGATTTTCGGGGTTTAGGGGTTTAGGGTTTTGGGGTTTTGGTGGTTTTAGGGGTCTTAGGGTTTGGGGGTTTAGGGTTCAGGGCCTGAGGGCTGAGGGCTTTGGGATTTAGGGTGCCGGGCTCAGGGCCTGGGGGGCCTGGGGGTGCAGGGTTCGATTCCGAGCGAGCTCAGAACTGGCATAGAATCGGTGTGTAATGTAGGGATCGTTTTGGGGGGGATACTATACTAGAGTTATAATAGGGAACACCCAAAATAATATAGGTAATTATTGAGGCCCCTATAGTAGGTTTAGGGTTTGCAGAATATCGGAAAGAGTATTGGACAACTGATCTTCAACAGATGTGACCGATGCAATGCACGCCACATGCAGCGGACATGACGCACGGCGATGCCATGTAGCATGTATCCTGCATTGAAACTACGCAACAGACCGTACGCCTGACAGCACAAGTCATGACACTGATATACCAAATACAGGCCTTGATACAGAAATTGCTGGAGCCCACGTCCCAATGTGCCAAAAGCTTCGTTCCATTGTTGGTGCGCCACGGACCCTTAGGCTCGGGCGGCAAGAATCTGCGTTGCCTTCGGCAACGGATGGAAATTGAAAGCTTAACGAGCATGGCCATGGTCCATATCTCGCGACGTGTCTCTGTTGTGTCTTAGCCCCATGTTCTAAGATAGTGTCTTTGCCTTTCTTGGAAGACTCTATTCATAAACCTGTATTTGTGCCAGATTTTTGCTTGCAGATACGATGCAAATTTCTCTATTATTCTACACGAGCTTTTCACTTAATGAAGTCGGTGCCTGCGTGAATGTCTGTCCTCCTGCGTTTCGGTCTCTTTCTCTCTGCTCTGCTTGTCTGTCTGCCTATCGGATCCTCCACGACCGTAGATGTGTGGAATGTGTAGGCATAACCAAATACATGGGATAAATACATACATACATCCATCCATGCATGCATACATACATACGTACATACAAACATACATACGAACATGCGCACATACATATTTAATGTACATATTAATACATATGTACATGCAAACACATAAACATGGATACGTACATGCAGACAGGCAGACGGACAGGCAGGCAGGCAGGCAGGCAGGCGGGCAGGCAGGCAGGCTGGCGGGGAGGCCGGCACACACACAGAGACAGACGGACAGGGACTAATATATTTCTTATTCATATATATATATATGCACATATACTTGTGTATATATATATATATGTATATGTATATATATATATACATAATGTATCTACACACATAAAAACATGGATACGTACATGCAGACAGGCAGACAGACAGGCAGGCAGGCAGGCGGGCAGGCAGGAGCACACACACACACACAGAGACAGACGGACAGGGACGGAAATATGAAGACACACACGAGGGAGACAGGTGTATGTGTGTACAGGTGTGTGTGTGTGTATATATATATATATTTATAGATTTATACAAGCACATATTATATATGCACATAGAATACATACTCTATGATATCTAGTTCATATTCTTAAGGTACATTATACAGTATCTAGTATATAATGTAAAATAAATAATATATGATATGTAGCATATAGTTTATACTACTTCATATACACTTTAATATGCATATATGATACTGTTACGTACATGTTGTACACAGCTACACCTATGCATGCATGCACGCATGCCCGGATGGAGAGATTGAGGGCTGGATGGACAGACGGACGGACGGACGGACGGACGGACGGACGGATGAGTGTGCATACCATGCGTAAATACCCATTTCAAGGTGTGCCTCTGTGGCGCTCACAACAGGATGTGCTTCCCCAGCTAGACAAAAAAGCTGAATAGTAGAGGGTGAGAAGTACTGCAAACTAGCTGAAGCGCTGCAGAGCCGGCGAGTAGGTTCCCTTGTCGAAGCCAAACTCCTGGTCGGCTTCAGTAGAAAACCGCCCCTTCGGGCCTCCACTCGCAAAGCCCCAAGAGGCTCGGGCGGCCTGAACAGTCATCGCTTCGAGTCGAGGTTGGGGTTTTCGGAGTTGGGGTTGAGGGTTTAGGGGGTTTAGGGTTTAGGGGGTTGCGGGGTTTGGGTTTAGGGCTTAGGGGGTTTAGGGGGTTTAGGGCTTAGGGTTTTGGGTTTGGGGGTTGCGGGGTTTGGGTTTAGGGCTTAGGGGGTTTAGGGGGTTTAGGGGGTTTAGGGCTTAGGGTTTTGGGTTTGGGGGTTTCGGGGTTTGGGTTTAAGGTTTAGGGGGTTTAGGGGGTTTAGGGCTTAGGGCTTCGGGTTTGGGGGGTTTAGGGGTTAGGGGTTTAGGGCCCTTGTCGTTCTTGCTGCTGTTTGCAGTACTGTGGTTGGTGGCTGTGTCTCTCATGACAGCCTCGTCATCGCGCTTGTAAGAAGGACCCTCGCCTTTCAATATCCCGTATTTCCGTAGCCCCTTGTAGTGAGGGTTTAGGTTTTAGGGACCCCTGTAATCATCACGCATTGTGTCGGCTGAAGTTGCTACAGGCTGCGGCTTCGGTGCGTGCCATGAAAAATCCTTGATTTCTGTCCGGCATGCTAAGACTGAACAGGTGCAAGAACAAGTCCCAACGTCTGTACCGAAAACTGAAATGCCCAGGATGGTTCCTCGTGACCAATGAATCCCACCATCATGGGTTTGGGATATATATCATGTTATAATTGTGTGTAAGAAACCCTGATTAAGGGTTTTACTATTTAGAATCTGGTTTGGGGGCCTGTTCTGCTACAACTACAATAACGCTCATAAGGATCCTCCCAAACAAGATCTTTTCCCGCATCCGACGACCTCAATCGCGAGCAGCCAAGAACTCGCGAGCCTGACAAGATCGATGT